GCGATTGCTAGTAGGCGCGATACACATTAAGTTGAAAAGCCTATACACATAGTTCCAAACCCGATCGTGGAATACGTATCGTTGACATCTAGAATATTGGCCCCCTTTACCCATCCAATGCAACAATTCTCATAAGAAGAGTCGGAAACAACAGTGGGTTGTCTGGCTAGGATGTGTCTAAGTAATGTGTAAGCTCTCAGCAGACTCGTAGGTCGGCTTCGCCCAATTTTGCACCCAGTGAGACTCAAGGACCTGTTGCGCTGAAGGTCGATCGTGTGGTCGAAATGATAACATTGACCTCATGAGCTTGGCGAAAGACTCCTTCTCCTCCTCGTCCATCACGACCACCTTTCTTTTGTTTCTTGGTTCTTGTATTAACTGCTCCAGAAGATCTTCCAATGATTGATAATTCAATCCTCTAAGGCTTCGCAGTTGATCGTCAAAATACTGGCTGCGATTCGCCCATCTCAGCCACAAGTCTTGAGGTAACTGTCCCAAAGCAGCGACTTGATATTCTAAGACTTGGTCGTTACTCGGGAACCATTCATAGAACGGGGCACGTTGACCCATGATGCTGAGCACTGCGCATCCGAGACTCCATATCTCTGCAGGGAATGAAAATTGCGACACTGGGTCCAACAGCATCTCTGGAGGCCTTAGCATCAAGGGTGTGTGGGACGATTTTTGCACGTGAGATCCTGGCTGGAAGGATTCGCCAAAGTCGTTCAGGAAAATCCGGGAGTCGGCGAGCGAGAGCTTGTCACTGCGGCCCCCAAGCCAGATTGGTACGACACCATTGTCAGGCACCCAATGATCCAGAGGTCGTCCATCTACCCGTTCAACCGCTTCGAGCGTGGGTTCTCCATATCTTTCGTATATTTGATCTGGTGTAAGATTATCGATGGTATTGGGAAGGCGCAGAAGGATATTTGCTTCATGCAGATCTAGATTCACCGTCAGCAAATTGATAAGCTACCCATATTATCTATTCCATCACATACCTCCATGAACTATCCCACGAGAGTGCATGAATGCGACTGCCTGAACAATCTGAGCAGCTATCGCTCGAGCTACTGGGAGCTGATAATAACGGTAAGGGGACGCCTCTCGCGCTTCGGCAATGCTTGTCATTGCAGGTGTCGTGACAAGACAGCGGTGCTTTCTCTTCGTACCACGTATCTCTGGACCTTCCACTTCAAATTCACCCAGAAGCTCTGGAAACAGGGTAGCACCGATGTGTTCTTCGCTACCGCGTCTTCCCTCGTCCCACAAAGCCTTCAAGATGGTACTCTCGGACGGACGGTCTAGCCCTGATACACAGAACTTGATAGCAACATACTTTGCCAGAATCTCATCACGTGCTAGCCATATAGTTGAATAAGACCCATGGCCTAGTTTATGCACGATGTGATAGCGGGCTGAGCAGAAACGCTCGCCAATTCGCACCGGATAGTAATCTCCGACAGTGTAACGCTCGAAGGGTTCGATATCTTCCATTGGCTTGTACCTCGGGAAGGAAGACTCTGGGTTAGGCTCGTGATCCGACATTGGTTCTGTATAATCGCCGGACGATGTGTACCTTCGAGAAGTAGTGTGTAAAGCAGTGAATATGTTGCATGCAAAGCGACGAGGCAAGCAAAATCGTGTATGAAAAGCTGATCGAGAGAACAAGCTTATCAACATTGCGAAGGCTTTTATCACTGACTGTAGCCGTAGAGTTAGTCATAAGAGTAGGCGCTTCCATGGATGTAGGGTCTTTACAAACGCGATCGACATCAGGAGCTCATGACCAGGCCAACCGGGGCCTGGCTCGGGTGCACTAGCGTCAGGACCCACCGCCAACCGCAGACTCCCGAGGTCGCGACAAATGTGGCCGACAGCCCTTCCATACCTTCGGTTTTAATACACTTCCCTCTTTGCGTTCAGGAATACTACTCTAATGGCTTTGGATATGTTTCGGCCATTCCAAGGTTGGTTTGCAGTAGGTAACTGTGGTTTAACGCCGCCTGGATTTCCATTGCCTTCACCCCCAGGCGCAGGTCTAGGGATACGCACAAGTACTCTGTGTTAGCATGCTGTATATATGCACAGGAACTCGGAATTCATCCTCATGCTCTCTATTTAGAGGCGGTACGCAACCCCATTGTTCTCCCTGTATCCTGAGCTCTAAGTTGCGGCACAGTCACTTGTGTTCTCGCACAGCCTCATTGTCCCGCATGTACCACAATGTCACCAGCGTTGACTCCCGCAGAGTAACAACCTGCCCTCTATTATGACTGTTTAAAGCAGTCATACTGAAAGCGACACTGACAGTCATGCGATCGCTTTGCCAGCCCGTTGCATTGCTTTCCGTTTCCCCTCTAGGTGTCGCTAGTCTGGGATTATCCTAGTACAATGAGGTCAAATCTGATGGCTTTCGCGAGAAGGCCCGCATTCAACTCAGACTGTCCATACGACCGATTTCCATTGCGCCTAAGTCTCTTGGTTAAGACTCCCACAGTGCATACTGTCTACATATCAATCGCACATCGATCTTGTACTCGCTATGTTGACCTTCCATGACAGCATTCAAATATCACGACATGATAGTGACAACCCAGTATGCTAGGTGCCAGTCGCTTTGAACATCAACCCGCCCAATTGATGTGTGGTCCTCCGTACTCCAGATTGAGAGCTTCACCGTGGAATCTTTTGTATGATATTTTTGAGTGTACTGGAATGAGTTTGCGGCCTGTTTTAAGCAAGCGTAAGATCTCATCCATCGTTAGCATTAGTTATCTATTGACTATAAGAATTTCTCAGTATCTTCAGTTACTATCGTACCGCGGCCTGGTTGATCATCTCTCGGGGCCCTCCATTACGTTCCTAACACGATGTGGGTATCACACCTTCCCCGGCAGCTCAGCAGGCACCATATTCACAGCATGTCCTTCAGATATCTCAACTGGACCATGGCTGCTGTCCCATTGATACCCCTTCTGTATATATCGCGAATTGTGTGTGCTCAATTCAGCGTTGTGTGTGAGGTCATCGTGAGGATCGTAGATGTATCCTGGGGGCTGTACCGTCGGTTCTGTAGCACCACGCTTCCTCCGAATGAGCACGACACCAAGGATAGTCAAACAGATCACTGTGAGCCCTCCTACCACTCCTCCTACTATCGGCCCAATGCTTGTTGACTTTTGTTCGGAAGCCGGGGCTGTCGGATTCGATGTTGATGACGGTAAAGGTAAGTCGGATAAGATACTGGCGCTCGAAGTGAGGGGCGTGGTACTCTGGATAGCGGAGTTCGATGGTGGCGATGTTGAAGCAACAGAGGAGATGCTGCTGCTCGTGCTGGAAGCGGATGTTGTCGTTGCTTCCACCGCGTTCGGGACGGCGAGAAGACTGTCTGTCCTCGCTTTATTTCCGCAGGCAATGTATTCGAATGATTGATCTGGGCCATTAATCAAGAGCACCGTAGAACAAAACTGCTTGGCTTCGCTAGAACACTGTGTTAGAGGGCCTCCTTGCACTATCTCTGAAGCCATGGAGCAACTGACCAAGAAAAGGTGGTGATATCTGATCGATCAGATAGCCTTCCACAACCAGCCGTACAAGAGTGCTCATCTACGCACATGCCAGCTAAACCGCAGTCTTTGGCCGATATCACACTCGTTGGACAAAATCCCCAGAGGCCGTTCGCGGTGTCGACACGGCATCCATAGCCGGGGTCAGCAGTTCGAGGACTCTGGGCATCGCCGTCAACGTAGCCACAAGTAGTGATAGGTGCGAAGGCTTGTCGTTCAAACATCCGTTCGTGAGCGTGAGATGCTAGCTCTGTCGCGTTTGGTCCTAAGGGCCCGATTCGGCTGCGAATTATGGCAGGGCTTGGAGAAACCAGCTCCATAGAGGTCAAGACGACAAGGATGATCAACCTGAACATCTCTCAAAGTGAAATGTTGAAACGAATGACGACGCGTAGAGCAATAGACGAAAGAAGAGATACGGGTACCTGCGACACAAAGAAACACGCAGTTTATGGCATCCCCCAACCGTGCCGCAAATCCACAGTCGCTGGGCGCGCGAAATGAGCCATTGTCTGTACTACCTCTATGCAGCCACTGTTTCATGGGGCGAAGATGTCGGGATATTTTTAGGGTGCAGGCGGCTTCCGAGAGTAGAGAGTGGCGCTATCTGAGTAAGACGGGTATTTAGACGCACTGAGAGGTGCAATCGGCAATTGGCGTGGAAGCTTGTCTTGGCAGCCAGTGCGTGACGCCGTTCCAGCGCGTTCGTTATTGTGATAAACGCTTGGGCCCGCCTGCCGAGGTGCGTCATTGGTTGCCGTGCCCCGCGGCCTTTGCTAAGCGCCTACTCATCTCCCACGCGGGACGGTACGAAACCGCAACTATGCACCGTGCACTCTGCAGGATGCGGCGCAGTCTCGCAGCGCCAACTTCATCCACTTCCAGTCACTCAGGAATCGCCCCTCGAACCGACTTCAGCGGCTCAACTGTTGCTCGATCTCGCCCCGGTCCTTTTCCTCCTCGCCACTCTCGACTTCTACAATGGCAGCATTTTCACGGAGCTTGCGATCGCTCCTGCAGGCAATCGCGTTGCTCAGTGTCATCTTCTTACTTATAGCTGGATTTGGGTTCCTTAACCTATCGCATATCAAACCCATCGTCACTGGAATACTTAAGCCGTCTCCTGCAGCTACTCCTGTGGCTGATCCTCCAACAACCCCGCAACCTCCCGAGCGCGTCGATAACAGCGACGGTAGTCCTGAGCCATCAGCAAACGACAATATCACTGCCATTATCCATTCAATCCTGTCACCATCGGATTCAAAATCGGGCTTAGAATGTCCTCCATTCAATAAAGATCGTTATGCCTACTTGGGAGGAGGCTCTTCTGGATCCCTCCAAAGCGGGCGACTCCCACGATATTTCTTTGCATTGGACTTACATCAATGTGTCCATCTCCTTCCGCAATTGATTGGTTCCATCGTAGAAACCATGTACTTTCTCGGGCCACAGAACTGCGTCCTTTCCATAGTCGAAGGAAGATCCGACGATGGCACCTTTGAAGTACTTAACCAGCTCAGCGCTAGCATGGCGCTCCTTGGAATTAGATACCACTTCAAATCAAGCGACATCAACCCTTTGGCCAAAGGAGGAGACCGTATCGAAGGCCTTGCAAAGCTCCGCAACCTAGCCGTGAGAGACCTTATCGCACATCCGGAGCATTACGACGAGGACACCACGGTGATTTTTTCCAACGACATAAGTTTGTGTATGGAAGACATCCTGGAAATAATACATCAGCGGAAGTTCCAGGGAGCCGATCAGACATGTGCCATGGACTGGACATACGTTGGTGACAACCCGACTTTCTATGACGTTTGGGTAAGTTCTGACTGTACGAAGTGCATGTGAGATATATACTGACTTCGTATCTCTACCTCTGCAGATCGCTCGCGGCAAGTTTTGACTGTACGAAGTGCATGTGAGACATATACTGACTGAGTATACCCATTTCTAGGAATGACTGGGGACCTATTCTTCAATATCCCGGAAGACGGATCATGGGATAATGCCTGGAACCTCTTCCATAATGACCCTAAGGCACACGCGCGCTGGTCGAGCTCAAAACCATTCCAGGTGTTCGCATGCTGGAACGGCATAACAGCCTTCACCGCGAAACCGCTCATGGAGAAGAAGATCAAGTTTCGGGCGCACAAGGAGGGCGAGTGTTTCCAAGGCGAGCCGAAGTTGTTCGCCAAGGACATGTGGTTCAACGGCTATGGCAAGATTGCTGTAGTACCAAGCGTTAATGTCGAGTACAGGTAAGTTACGACTGTACGAACTGCATATGAGGCATTTACTGACTTCGTGGCGCAGCAATGAGGCAACTCAGAAGATAAAAAACCTAAAAGGTAAGTTTGACTGTACGAAGTGCATATGAGACATATGCTAACATCGTCCCTCTATCTCTACAGGCTATACATCTAAGCATGTTGCCAATGAAGGAGATACAAAGATCGAGTGGGAAACATCACCTCCAGCAAAGGTGAAGTGTATGCCGGACTATCGACATCAAACGTTTGTTGCTTGGGACGAGGGGCTGCGGCAGTAATGTAATCAGAAATGAAATATTAATACCCGCAAAGACTGTGATGGTGATATCTTTCATGCTCCATGCATACTACTCTGACTATGTTGTACGCTACACCCTTCTTGTAATCACCACACGTATGTCGTTGGTCGGCTTTCTAACTCCGGTTCCTGGAACCTTGCCCGGAAGCTTCCATGCCCCGTCCGCTGGGCCAACGTCCCACATTGCAATGATAGCAACAGCTAATGTCACGATCTCCTTCTCAGCAAATATCCTTCCTTTACAGATTGCAGAGCCAGATCCCCATGGCTTCAGTCGTCCATATCGAGCAGTAAGCTTCCCGGATGACGGGTCCAGCTCCAGAAATCGTCCAGGGTCAAACTTATCGGGATTGCTGTAGATGGAAGCATCGCGGTTCACCAGAGAATAAGGTACAGACACAAATGTACCTGGCTTGAGTTCATGTCTCAATTCTCCGTCCGTAACGTGAACTGAGCTTGAACCGACAGACCTAATGGACCTAAGATGTGGGTTTACGAGGTCAGTAAATGTCTCACATGAAGTTCGAATGGGGAAACAAACGTTGGTTCGTTTACAAGACGGTAGGTCTCGTAAATACACGCCTTCAGCAACGGACAATCCCTTGACAAGCCTCGCATATCCAGCGATATCAATTCTCTGGGGATGGTCGAGGACATCGTAACATATGGGGTCAGTTCCTCGCGGAGTTGCTCCAAGATCTCGGGCGTGGAATATACGTAGGTTAACAGCCAAAAGAGGAGTGGTTGCGTGTTCGCATTCTGACCCCAAAGGAGTCCAAGGTCTCCAGCACCACGCTCAGGGAAGGACCAACCTTCCCTCCTGTAGACATTGTTCCTTCCCAATGCTGTTTCACCGACGTCGCGCATATCAGCGTCGAAATCGACAGGATCTCCCTGCTGGTGCTGGTCGATTCGGCGATACAAAGCCTCGAGTTCAGTGATGAGACGGGTCCGCGCAGCGAGACCCTCTTTCAACACTTTCAAAGGAGCCCACAGTGGCAGCCCAATCATTAAAAGGGGAAAGAGATCGTTATCAAACTTCCACAGATCCTCTAGTGCCTGTGGATATCGATCGAGGAAATCGCGACCGTATAGCTGTGGGATAGCGATGCAGGCACCAAAGTCTCGAACCAAGCTTTGGAAATTTGCCTCCACTTTCTCAACACCACTGGATTCAGGGTTGATCACCCGAATTTGTGCCGAATGCTCCCACAACTCCATGTCGCGAGGATTAGACTGGAAGGTCACGAAGGACTTCACTTTTTCGGGTATGCAGGCTTTCTCCAAAGCAGCAGTGGCAGCGTTCTCGTTCATGAAGACTTTCTCGATGGGTGTTCGTAGATCCCTGTTTGAAGCGTCCAGCTTTTCTTTGAATTGCAGTGAGTCTACGCCACCGAATACACGGACGAGAAGGGTGTACTGAGACGGCAAAGGATCTAAGATGGATTTTGCCATCAACCGTGTGATGTGCGGCGAATCGATGAGTATTTGGTGTTTTGATGAGAGCCCAACAAGAGATCCACTGTTTCGCCGCAGCAACATTCTACAAACGCGGACATGAGTATTATCTCTATATGAATAAAGCTTCATGGTACTCACAGAATACGGCGACCCAATCCGTTCTCGGAGAAAAGATGCGAAGTTAACCCAATCTCAAGTGTTGCCCAGACGGGAAACAGCTGGTATGGTTTCGGTTTCGATGCCACTCGATCGATAAAGATGACGATGAGGATGATAATGGCCACAGCAATGACACCAGTGTTCGCTGCCGCTTTCCAGCCCGCTAGCTGGGAGGCATCGGCATGCGATGAGTGCATTGTGTTTCCCATAGCCGGACGACTGACGAGCGTTTCCTATATGGTCGCTTTTATAGCGTTGGATGTGCGTGGCCTGGTGTTGCGATCGTATGGTATTGAAGGAGAAGCTGTGACTAGGTTTTGGTGTCGGGTGTGCACCTGGGCAGGCTTGATAAACCGGCCTCGGAAACGTTTCAGCCGTATCAGCCGTATCAGCCGTATTACTCCAGGGCTGTACCTATTGCTGATGGCCTTGGCGTCTCGTAAGGTTCAAATATTCACGGCGCGGCAACAGGAGGCTCCGAGTGCCGGCGGTTGTAGCGGCGCGTGGTGGTGCTGCTGCTCTGCTCGACGTTGATGTTGTCTCCCGTTGGTTACGCCTCTGACTGTACAACTGGTTCCTGCATACGTGGAAAGCTAGCTCTACGTGCCTGTCGCACCTTGAATGTGGTCGAGACGGTATGATTTGACGAGAGAAATGGCACGAGATCGAATAGCCTGTCAGCAGCCACCGGGTCCGCGTCGCAAGCGGGCAACGTAAGGAAATTAGGCAACCACGACAGGACGCGAAAATTCAGAGGGTGTAAGTATTCGCAACACGTTCGACTGCCATATCTGCCCAGAGACCTTCCACGACAAAGTGAGCCTAAAGGAACACAATAAAGCGGTACACGCATTGCCCGCCGTAGAGGAGAAACTTAGGTCTACTCCCAACCACGAGTGCAATTACTGCGGCAGGAACTTTCGGACCCGGAAGAGGATGAACATTCATATCGAGTTCCGATGCCCGGCTGCGCCCAACAAGAATGCTAAGATACGGCGGGAGATCCAAGAGATTGAAGAGGCCCTCCCAACCATCGATCGCATTGACAAGCCCATGTACCAGAACCTCTTAACGACGCTGTACCAGCAGCTATCGGATGAGAACCTAACCGACCAGCACCGAGGGCCGCCTGACTCGGATGAGGACATGTCAGACTCGGATGAGGATATGTCAGACTCGGATGAGGACCCAACCGACCAGCACCAAGGAACGTCTCACTCTGACCTAGAACCGCCTCGCATAGATCCACTACACCAAGAGCTCTCGCCAGACCAAGTAATCGCATTGATGTCCGCCTCATTCCCTGGTCTCTCTCCAGCATCGCCAGACATTGCAGAGCTATTGAGATCGATCAAAAAGCACATGCAAACTGCGCCACCTCTGCACATCCCTGAGATCCTGGAGTCGCCGTCCACATGGCCCTCTACAAATGCCATCGTCGACGCCCTCTGGGCAGAGGCGTCACATGATGAATGCAGAGTAGCATTGTCGTCGGTCCCTACCACGGGGTTAGACATGCGGCCGGACTACCTTGTCAAGCCCTTCGGGTCGCCGGAAGACCCGCTGATGGTCATGAGCTCCTACCCGACAAGCGACCCGACAAGTTCACTTCACATGTCGTACAGCACTATCAATGATATGTCCAACCAGTCCATCGCTGTGCTATTGATTAAACTCGGATACAATGTCGCTAATGTTCGCACAACCGGCGTGTTTATGGTGGACCTCTTCTCCCGACGCCTCGACAGGAAGCGGATGATTGGTCTCTCTGAAAGGTCCTAGACAGCGTACCCAGCCAGCTTCGCCTATACTGGCAGACTTTTGCGTTTATCTGTCTCGACAAGTCTACCGCTCGAGTCCTCTTGGTAGTAGGAGGGACAGCGTTCCGGGACTACTGCCAGTACCTGAAAGAGCGAGGCAGGACAGCAAAGGTCCTATATTTGTCCGGCACCCAACGCTACAAAGCAGAAATCCCGGCAGCAATGCTAGAGTACTACGACAACAGCCCAACTACAGTTCGTCGTATCGCCATCATCACGTTCCACCCCGAGCGCTTCGCAAGAGAAAAGAGTAATACAAAGTCAAGCCGAGACGACGACATGGCGATCCGCGAACGCCTAATTGATTATGCCCTAATCATTCTATACGGGCAGCCCAACGTCCAGGGCTTCCTCTCCACATGCGCATACCACTTCAACCTCCGTTCAGGAGCGCTCGTACGGAAGGACATCATCGCCAAAGGAGGGAGCGCTCTGTCCTCATATCTCAAGCTACCTCTAACGCTTAAGGATCCGCTGGACACATTCCGTTCCGCCATGAAGACGATTAAGATGCCATTGTCCAAAGACGCCATTGCGAGGATAAGTGTGCTCGCCATGGGTGCCGATAAGGCACTCGATTGGCTCGACCGCCCAGAACTCCAAGCCATCTATGGGCCCTACGTCGCAACCTACAAGGCGTCTGTCATCCAGACAGAGGATATGAGAGTAAGGCGGGGTCTGAACCAGGTAGAGAGAGTCGAAGGCAGGCACAAGAGTGAAGATCGGCGTAAGAGTCTAAGAAAGGCCTTGGACGACGAATTTGGACCGCCAGCTAAGCGGCACCAGAGCGTTTTCGAGCAAGACCAACGGCGACGACTGTACACTCAGACATTCTGAGATTAGCAACATTTTTGGGGGAAATAGAAAGACCAACACACGGGGATGTACAGGACCGCAAGCACCAATTCGAACGAGAAGGTGTGCTTCGTATTGGGGTATCATAGTAGAATGTGAAATGGCAAGACTGCGGCTCACGCAGCTTCTTTGCCCTCATCTGCGACGGTCGAATTGTCCTCCACTTCAGTCTCTCCGTCCTTGAACAGCTCCTGGCCCAGCTCTTCCAGAAACTTCTCCGCCTGCCCTTTGCTCCTCTTCTCCTGTATGGCCCTCTTCTTTTCTCTGACCATGGCTTTTCTCTTCTCCACGGCCTCTTTGCGCTCCTGCCTTACGCGCTCAGTATCTTCCCTGTCCTTCTCAATCCGTCTCATCTGTTCTTGCCGTTCCTCCTCGTCCTTGGAAAAGTTGAAGAAGCCCATGCCGCGCTGCCTGACCTCGGCTCTGCCGTCAAAGTGTACCTCGGGTGGCGGCGTAAGTTCTTTGTCGCGCTTGGCGGCTAGGTCAGCCATTTGCTGGGCGATGGTCTCGTCGGGGTTGAAGGCGTGTGTTTGTACGGTGTCGCCGAAGATGATGTTGGTGGGCATGCTGGGCCGCGCGGTGAAGCGGTCGGGTTCGTCGGCGGCGAGGGTGCGCTTTCGACGCTCTTCGCGGGCAGCTTCTGCACGTGTGCCCTTTCGCGTTCGCCCAAACTCGTCCGTATATTCTACAAGTTCCTCCTCTTCGTCCTCTTCCGACTCGGATGAGCTGGCGTGTTCCGCCTCGCCCTTTTCCTGTTGCTCAGCCCATTTGCGGTCAAAGTCGACGCCGTATTTGTCGTCGAGATCTTCTACATCGCCGCGCTTCAGAGCATCATACAGGCGCGCCTTCTCTTCCATGCGCCGCTTCGTGCGCTTCCATGCGACTTCATCTTCGCCCTTCTCCTCGGTTGTGCGCCCACGGTGCTTCTGTGTGAAGTCGGTGTCTTCCAGATCCTTCAGTGCGCGCTTCTTGACGTTCTTGTTGTGTGTCTTGAAGATGTCTTCCTTCTGTGGTCGTGCGCGGCCCGCGGCGGGCTTGTTCGGTTCCGTGGAAGAGCTCTTGATGAGGTTGGAGAGGGTCGAGGAGAAGGCGAGGCTGCTCGAGCTGGAGATTTCTTTCGCCTTTGCGCGTCCCTTGGGCCGCACGCCGTAGAGATGGGCGTCTTTGGAGGACATGGTGGGGTTGGGGATGAAAGTCGGTTTGGGTGATGACAGTCGCGTGCTGAGCGCGTAGGCGCGGCGGCGATGTTCGGAGCTCTGAGCTTGTTGCGTCACTAACCTCAGGAGCTACCCCACATCGCAGTACCTTTGAGAGCCGCACCGTGCTTTCCGCGAGCCGCAATCTTTCTCTGTTCAAGTTTGGATATCCTCCCATTGTGTCCTGAGAGCTGACACAAACGTCACGTCCTCAGCATCAAGATTCGCACAATCAATTGACTACAACAAACAAACATGCCTCTACCTCGTCAAGTATTCATCGCCGTTATCGGTACGCGCAACAATCTTCCCACATACATGCTTCATACTAACAATTACAGGTGCTGGTGGCGTAGGCAAAGCCTTCCTCTCCCAACTATCTGCCCTCTCTAAACGTCTCTCCCAATCGCCCTCGTCGCCGTATTACCTCTCCCTCATCTGGCTCAGCACCTCGAAGAAAGCTGTCTACCACGCCGACTACAAATCCCTTTCCAACTGGGAATCCGAGCTCCAAAACACTTCCAACCCCACATTGCCGCTCCCACAACTCTGCGAGTATCTACAGAAAGCGCCTGGCAAGGTGGTTCTCGTCGACAACACCAGCAACCAGGACGTTGCGGATAGCTACCCTGCTTTCTTGAAGAAGGGAATCAGCATTGTTACGCCAAACAAGAAAGCTTTCTCAGGAAGCTATGGCCTGTGGACACAGATCTTTGATGCCGCGAGCAACGGAAATGGTGCTGGTGGCTACGTCTTCCACGAGTCGTCCGTCGGCGCGGGACTGCCTGTTATCTCCACACTGAAGGATCTGGTCGAGACCGGAGACGAAGTCACAAAGATTGAGGGCGTTTTCAGCGGAACCATGAGTTTCCTCTTCAACTCTTTCCAGCCTCTCGGCGGTGGAGGTGGAAAGTTCTCAGCTGAGGTAACATCAGCCAAAGAGAAGGGTTACACTGAGCCCGACGCTCGCGACGATTTGAATGGACTAGACGTCGCTCGAAAGCTTACCATTCTCGCCCGTCTCGCTGGCCTAAAGGTCGAATCGCCAACATCATTCCCCGTTCAGTCTCTCATCCCCAAGGAGCTCGAGTCGTGCTCATCCGGCGACGAGTTCCTCGAGAAACTCCCACAATACGACGACCAAATGGAGAAGCTTAAGGCAGAGGCAGAGAAGGAAGGCAAGGTCATCCGATTTGTAGGAAGCGTCGACGTACCAAACAACAAGGTCAAGGTCGGATTGGAGAAGTTCGACACAAGCCACCCTATTGCGGCACTCAAGGGAAGCGACAACATCATCGCATTCTACACAAAGCGATATGGCGACAACCCGCTCATCATCCAGGGTGCCGGTGCTGGCGGCGAGGTCACTGCCATGGGTGTAACAGCGGACCTGGTCAAGGTACTTCGGTTACTACACTGAGTAGTCTTCACATAAACTAAAAAACGAATACAATGATCCGTTACTACCACAAAGCTTGTCTATCCAGAGCGGCTACAGTAACATCGTACACTAGCAATCGTCTTGCCGGTTGTACGTTAAAATCACAGTCTTTGGTTTCATATGCTTTTGCGTTGCACCGAGCGTCATGATCGTCGCTCCCCGTTGATGCCGAACTGTATTTCTCTGCCGATCAAAACCCAACCGACAAAATCCCTTGATGCGAACCCCTCACTCGGCGAGAGTGATGTGCAGTGATGGAACCTTCCAGCTGGCAGGTTGATCTCTGCGCTTCAATTGCTTGGTCTGCCAAATTGCTTGTTTCGCGACACTGGTGCGAAGCTTATGTGTTGATATTGAAGGCTTGTCAATGTGTGACGTTGGCGTAGAGGCTGTGCACATTGTCCCTGCGTGTCGTGCGTCGAATATAGGTACTGTTGTCTCTCCTTACTCGTGAGGCAAAGCTGTCGAAATTGATCAGGTGCGATGCGACATTTCTTTGGCTCTGTCGTTACGGCTCTGCTGATCTCCACGCCTGATACTTTCCACTCACTATAGTGCTTGATCAAAATTGTAGTCATATGATCGCAAGTGTACCACAATGTCGAGACATATGACTTGGTCTGTGAAGTAAGGTACAAACTTGAGTAGCAGCAGATCTTCAAGCGCGATGATGATATTTATCACCCAAACCATCGATGCCCTGCAGCACGAGAAGATCAAGCACGCTGATCTCAGGCTTGGTGTGCTTGTTCCTCTTGGGGCAGGTTTATTTCCCCTTCACATCACTTAGGGTTCATGGACTTCTCCGGCAGCTGAAGATCTGCAGACGTTACTCATGGCGCAAACCAGATTTCGAGTAAGCAACAAACTTTGTGACATTGTCCATGCACTTGTCACGAGAGCTTGGACACGACATTCGGCGAGAAAGGGATCCTTCACCGACGGCAAACTGAGATTTTGGCCACGACAACGAAAAGCTCGCTTTTTCTCCATCTTGGTGGGGAGAAAATGGCTAGCTTGGCGGACAGAGCGGAATATACGGTGTAATAGTATATGCCTGCATGGCTTGGCGGGGTGGAAAGGGTGTCATGGTGCACTTAGTGTACATGCCTGCATGCGCTGGTGGGTATCGATATCGCGTAGCTCCAAGCAGCGGTGACGCGTCTGTACGTGCCAGAGCGCAAGGTCTAGATTGCTTTGCGAAGCACCTGCATGGGAGCGGAAGTGTGGCACGCAGGTGTGGCACAGATTCGTAACCATGCATGGGTGTGGCAGGCAATCTGGTAACATCCGTCAGTAAGGGTGCTTGAAACACTTGCAACACTCGAGAGATGGGTAAATGCGCGATGCACGTAATTGTTTGCAAACATATGTGAATTTTGTAACAAACTAGCTTCTAGAACACTCTTGAGTCATTCGTAAGTCATAGCAACAGCAAGCGAGAAAGAAAGCGACGAAGCGCCTGCCGCTTATGACGCACAAACGTTTTGCTGCCCAACGCCAGACAACCCCGGTAATTCCAAACCAAAATGGAAGCAAACGCAGGTTGCCCTTGCCCTCTTCGTGTTCGCCTGAAGTACTCCCTGTCGTTTTTACGTGAGAACGCCGCGGCCGAAATGAGTGCGCAAGAGTACCCGTCGCCGGGGCACGTTCGCGTGCGCAGAATGCAAGAGCAGAGTGGGTATCCGAAGTAAGAGAGAGATGAGAGAAACAGGCCAAAACGCGCTAGGCGAGGTTGAGGAAAACAGATACATGAAGTGAAGAGTGGAGTTTCGGCAGTCGTCGTGAGGAGCTGAGAAGTTCGGCTCCAGAGACCAGACAGGTGTGGCTGATGGCCTGCACGGTCCGCGGAGTGCATGATCATGGCATGTGATTGCCGTTCGGGCCGAGGAAAACGTGGCTAAGTGGATCAATGGGGAAGCGACTCCTCACTTCAGCCACAGCCTAGACTCGGACGCGATGCGGACTACCAAGAGCTGAGGTGGATTGTGTAGGTACTGACGTGGCTAAGGAAAGCGCAGTGTTGACGGTCCGTTCATCTGAAGATGGTGGAGATGCGCTTGGTGCGTTGCCGGACACGCGAGAGCATGTTGGCTTTGTAGGGCTCAGCCGACATGGAGATGGACGAGTGTCGCATGCTTGCGCGGTCGTTGCTTGATGTGTCGCTTGGGCTGGTCGCGCTGCTGCTCTCGGCGTCGTCTTCTCGTACAGCGGGGTAGGGCTGGTCGGCCGAGGGGAAGAAGTAGGCGTCGAGTCGGGAGTTCATTGCGCGGTTCTTCTCAGAGGCGGCTGTGACCAAGCTGCTCTTGCTGCCTACGCTGGTCGCACTGTCGGTTCGGGTGATG